TGGCGGCTATGGAGGTGGAGACATTGGCGGTAATTACGGCGGTGGAGGTTATGGCGGTAATTACGGCGGTGGAGGCAATGGTGGTAATTACGGCGGTGGAGACTATGGCGGTAATTACGGCAGTGGAGGCGGTGGTTACAGCTCAGGAGGCGGCGGCGGATATAGCGGAGATCACGGAGGATGGTCCAGTGGCGGTAGTGGATCGTGGTCTTAAATGGTTGCATACAGAAACTTCATAGCATAGTTTCTTGGTTTGTGAAAATATTGATATGTATACTACTGCCTGTAAAATTTAAAAATAAATTTACAAATGTCAATCTATTATAACTTATTGTTCAGATAATAGAGAAATAGAATGGCATGATCAATGACCACACTCTTTGATTGGTATTGGTATTCTATTTTAACTGATTGTTCAGATGTGTTCAAGGATCCTACTCTTGCTTGAAAAAGTTGAGAAAATACTCCCCAAAAAGTCGCACAGTAAATTAAGTAATTGATCTCCATAAGTAGGCTATGTGTTACATAAAATCTGATGTAACACATACATGTAGCCTACAGATCTATATTTCGTTTCGCTTTTTTATACTTTTGATGGTCTCTACTACATGAAGATCGGACCGGGTGTAGTGGAAGGTCGCGTCAGAGGTCATACGGGCAGCTTTTGACCCTATGACGTCAGGCATTTGATTAACCAATCAGCGTTGATGTGGATTACAAACAGTTCCGTGCTCGTCACGCCAAAAACTCACCGTAACAGACCGTTTCATTGGCTAATCCCTCACATCATCCAGAAAGCAGGTTATATACTCTTCGAAAAAAAGTAGGGGATATTGAAATACAAATACATATGGAGGTTGTGATATGATAAAGAGTCATGGACACTTGACATGCTTTGAGAGTATGTTCACAGATGAAGAACTCATCGCCCCAACAGAACCACCGAGCTGCATGTGCGACACACAATAGCGCCATACACGTGGGAGGGGTTCATTGTCAAATTTGACACTTCAAGGAAGGGTTGATGAAAACTGCCGCTTGCTGGTTTATCCTATCCATGTTTCCTTTTCTATCGGTTCTTGGATAAGATTTACTGTTTAGCGTATCTTTGCTTTAATTTGATCGGGAGACGTGTTCGTCCACACTGCAAGAATTGGCCGTGGCATTGCAAGAGGAGTGGGTCAGATTGCCCCAAATCGTGGTTGGACGGTAGATTAGGAGCATGCCACGACGAACTGCTGAATGTCTGAGGATTGGTGGAGCAATTACTCATTATTAAGACAAAAATCAAAAACGTCCATTTTCACTTTTGACAGTGTATCTCTTTGCGAGTGAAATGGGGCCGTCAGATAAGCCGCCCAATTGAACTGTTTATGTTCATGTGTAGGCAATTGGCCTGTTATTAAAATACACTGGTTACCTATAATAAAAACAAGTAGGACGTTAAACCCTATTTCATTTCATTTCGTTTATAATAAAAACAACAGTTTGTATTGTTTCTGAATATCCCCTACTTTTTTTGAAGAGTATATAACAACTCTTCCATATCCTAGTGTAGCAAAGACAAGTAAAACGAAATTTTGAACTATAAAAAGCGAAACGAAATAGTATCTGTGTTTTAATCAGATTGTAAAATGACCAAATACAAGTGGTTTATACCGAGATTTTATCATAAACGATTTACACCAATTTCACAATAATCTAATTAATAATATTCGATATCTGACTTTCACGGGTACAGCCTTAATCTTTTTGCGCAAGACATCACGGAGACTACACATAGTACCATTGGATCGTTAAAGTAACTTAATTTTGAGCAACCGGTCTCTGATTTTGTCTAAAACATAGGTCACTATAGCTTCTTTGCTCAGTCCATAAGATTAATATAATCTTAAAACCGCAACGAATGTTAAAACGCATTACTAAAGGTGTAATTAAATATGGTGGAAGAATCCTTAGTACAATGCCGACAAGAATGGATCTTATTGGCACAGTTTATGTTAGAAGGAAGCTATTCTCAGAAATTAACCCAAAGGTAATAATCCCCAAGCAGCAAGCTCGAAAGACCGCGTTAAAATAATATAAAGATTTTATCTAGTTGATAAAGGACTACATAAATGGGGTTTCCACTGATCTACACCGACTCATCTACATGGTATACAATGTGCTATTTTGCCCATACCACGGCGCTACGGCATTCTCTCTTATTTCGAATTCAAACTCCTAGGGGTTCTTTTATGTGCAAGCCAATGTGTATACGGGACCTCGGTTTTTGGTTCCATCCGAACGACTAGACACTGTCATTGCCAATTCCACCGCCCTGCATCACTGACAATGTGAGACCGCGCCGAAAAATTCCGAGGGACCCCTGGGCTACATATCAAGGATATGTATAAAATAACCCTCACCCACCCTACAACATACATACACATTGACTGTGAAACTATTTGTAATTATGGCCTGTAAAAATGGCTTCTGGTTATCCTTTTTCCAAATTTGCAGGTATCTAAAGGCTTTTGAACAAATAATGTGTAACATAATTAACATTTAAAACAATTGTGTTTTTTATTTCAATAATGGCCACTGGCATAATACTTATAGTTACCGTGTCAAATTATATTATTGGAATATCAATAGTATAATAGCCGCAGTAAGCTGGTGATCACAGTGACCAGTAACCAAAGGTGCTAATCCTTAACATTGCTTTCAATATGAAACTATCTCCCCAACCCTCCAATCGTTCCACCACTGATTTCCATAGCATACAATGCTCTAATAAATAACTTTGCTGGTGACTCTGAAATTGGTAAATCGGGTGTACACTGAGTAAAGTCGTATGGTTAGGCAGGGGACTCCTCGTCACGCACAAACCTGGTCTCAAAACCATGCCTTTAACGTCCACTCGACACAAACTAGGTCATTTCGGGACAAACATATAACACAATTTTATTTCAATAATTCGCTTGCGCATAGGGGTCTTTAGCAGTGGGAGGAAACCGGAGGACCCGGAAAATCCGGACAAAATCCACGTAGTTGGACAGACGACTCTATTCCTTGTCACGTACAAGCTGGGATTCGAAACCACGCCACTTGACTCAATGACAGACCCTGTGATCTTAAACGCACGCTTTAAACCCTCCACTCTCACCCCTTGCTCAGACAGTAAACCTTGTGATATACAATTCATGTGTGTTAGATCACTGGGCCTACCAAAACCCTGATTTGTAATAAAATCTTGTTTCCCTGCGTAGAGAAATTTTGACTGGCTATCTGGCAAATTGTTTTCAATACTTTAAAGTTAACATGAATAGCTACGATATGTAAACTTGTTTGTTCCTGTATCTGGACTGTATAAGTCTTATGTTGGTATATGTTTGGAAAATATATTGATTCGCCAAACATCAGCGGATACCTTAGTGTCATCTATCTAGTTCTATTAATCATGGTTTGTTTATGACGTAATAATGATAATTATGGTAGTGCCATTGACCTATGAAATGGTGACGATAAAACTGTACCTAGTGAGTGCAAGTACATAGTTGGTTTAAATTACATTTCTCGACCAACCAAAGGGTAGGGTTATCGATCTCCTGTTATTCTATTTCTTTTTACATATCTAAACAAGAAGTTGAAATAAAATGACATTTATAAAAAAAAATTATTTAATATTTATATAAAAAAATATATAAAAGTAATTTACATATCATTATTGGCTACGAACGTTCTGTGTGCGTCTAATTAAGACCATCCTCCGGAGTAAACATCGCTATAACCACCGCGGTAACCGCCACCTCCTCCGCCGTATCGACCACCATAGCTCCCACCTCCGTATCCACCGACGTAAGAACTGCCATACCCACCGCCATAGCCTCCAATATAAACATATCGTGGGTATCCTCCACTGTAAATATATTCTGGGTATCTTCCATCGTAATCATATGATGGGTATCCCCCACCGTAACCGTAAGATGGCGAAGCTGCATATGTCGGTGCGACAACGTATTTTGGTGCATATGTCGGTGCGGCTGCGTATATCTGTGCTGGAGCATAGCCGTGTGATGGTGCATAACCGTAATTATGTTGTGTAATGGCGGATCCCACCAAGGCAGCGAGTATTAGCAGACACCTCATTCTGTAAATTAAAACAATGCGATTTAGTTCAAAATTAGGTTCCGGTGATAAGTGTTTTTCAACTCGTGTTAAAAATAATGAATAAAACAAAAAAAACAAACCAAACAAAAAAAAACAAACAAAAAAACCCCACGAAATATTAAATAGTTACTATCTTCTAGGTCAACGTTTTCATATTTTACCGTAGTCTAAGCCTAGGATTATCCAAGAAAGTTCATCGGGATTTCCCGGCGTAGTTCCTTAGTTTCAGTGGTGCAGGACAGGGGTCCTGGCAAGGGACAACGTAGAGTCGTTCGGATGGGAGGTAAAACCGAGGATCCGTGTACACATTGTCATGCACATCCTAGACATACATGCTACACGAATTTGTTATTAGCTGAGTAAATTTTGCCAACAAGGCATCAGTTGTTTTAAGTCTAGGAGGGGTAAGCATTTTCTAACAATAAAAACCTGAAATAAGCTGAATATTTACCTTGCTTTGGATGATTTGAAGTATAAAATAACTGCCTCTGCGTTCTTTTTATACTAAAACAAAATCTGCCATAAGGTTTAACGTTTCAACTTCTTGACGTAGCCTGTAATTAACACTGGTCATCAGGTTAATTGATGACATAATTCAAATTTTCTAACAATGGACACCATTGTAGGTCTAAAATTCGAATCGTTTGCAGTTATAAAATGTCTTATGGGGAAAGCCCCAGCCTTACAGTTGCCTAGATGTCAGCTCAGCCCTGTCAAATAAATAATAAATAGAACATAGATTACTAATGTATTTAGTACTATAGGACTTCCTCTTCTCGTGTTTATTTTCTGGTGATCTTTAACAAGACTACAGCATAAAATAGTTTCACAACTTTATTTCTAAGTTGTAATGGCTTTGCAGGTTCCTCGTTCTCAATGATAATGGCTGCTAGGAATTTCAGGGTGAGTTCTGATTCAACTCGCTTCTACCCCTAATTTATACCCCCTAATTTCTGCAGGCCTTCGATAACCTTGACGTTAATTTCCAACCCATATATGGAATAAACTTCTTTATTTCCCACAAGTAAGATAGGAACCATTACCTATTTTTGGTCTACCAATTATAGGTCAATAAACAGCCAGAATTTGATGGATATTTTGACAATGCTTATGATTTAACCAAAATATCACTGTTTTTTTATGTATAACTATTTATTTTATGATCAGCAGTGGAATACCGCGTTTTATCAGTGAAATAAAAGTGTTATTCCACTGGCTAGTTGTTTTTACCTAAAATGATTGTAAAATCATAAAATAAATAGAACATTTGTCGTTTTGTCGTGAAAAACATATTTTATTTCATCTCTAAGCAAGAAAACGTTTATATTTTCACGAATAAGTTTTCTTGCTTCTCGATGAAATAAAATATGTTACTCACTCTAAAACGACAAATATCCTCTATATATTCGCGTTCATTAAGTACGTGTGATTTAACTCTATAGACAGAGTAAAGTAACAATTTTGTAATGAACCAAAATAGTCTAAAGGACCAAAGTGTTACAGTATGAAACTGTATAGACTATTTTCTTTTGATTTATTTCTAAATTATAAACCCCTGATTGGAAATTATATTAGAGGGTTGATTTAGAGGAATTTGAACATGCCATATGTGTGTGACAGATCATAGAGGGTAGTGGAAGTTCCAGCAAAGAAAAAAACATTCAATCACCAGTCGTTTCGGGAAAACAAAAGCGAAGAGTGAATAAGGGGCTATAGCAATCATTTGTCTTGTCCGAATTAAAAAGAAAACAACTACTACCTGGGTAAATTTGAATTTTGATATTCTCCCTCTATTTTCTTAGTCTATGTCCAAGTGACCAATAAGAAAAATTTGATAGTAATCTGATTTAAAATTGGTTTACTTAACTGTGAAAAATAAATCCGGTTCTTCAAATCGCCAACAAGAACCTACTAAAGCGTTTTATCTTTGTCAATATCGCTCGAAGTATTGCAAAAAGTGTCCGACAAGGAAGGAAAACACGTTATAGATATGCGTATTCTACACATCATATCAAATATTTATATGAAATATCTCCATAATATTTATCTTAACGGACGGAAGGACGAACATTTACATTCAATCTTTTTTTTGTTGTTGTAATTTATAATCAATTATGTTCAGTGAAATACGTAAACATTTCGAATTGAACGGCAGTCGTTTGCGCGTGCTTAATCCATTCCACACGAGTTTTCTTATTACTATTTTGTCGTTTGTGAATCAGTCATTTTTAATAGAGAGAGAGAGAGAGAAATGGGGTTTAACGTCCACTCGACACAAACTAGGTCATTTCGGGACTAACATATGGTTTAATTTTATTTACATAATTCGCTTGCGCGTAGGGGTCTTTAGCAGTGGGAGGAAACCGGAGGACCCGGAGAAAACCCACGAGGTTGGACAGGCGACCCTACTCCTTGCCACGTACAACCGGGGATTCATTTTTAATAGTGTTTTTCATTGTTTAATACACACGGCGCGCGAAACCATTCAATCCTTAGAGTACATGGTGTCTTGGACTGATTTTAAAACGTTCATTGTGTCTTAAATATTGGATATTATCATCCCATATTTTCACGGAAGATAACACCAATATAGATTGAAATGGACCATATTGGCTAATATTGAGATTTTGCTCCTTTACATGGTTAGACCGTTTCGATTGAGTTAAAAATAAAATTGTCTATTTCATTGGGTTTTATGTATCATGTATGATGGGTATAAATTTTGTTTATGCAACCATGCAATTATCCACCACTGCATTTTCATAAAAACATTTTCACATTTAGGGTAGTACCATGCGCTACGACGTCAGACATAGATCTACTGAATACTATGAGTTATATATGAATTTGGAAAATTCTGTATTTTTGGTATCTGATTTCCTCTATATCAAACATAGGGGTGTTCTAGTTCATCAAATTATAAAGCTACCTCTAAGGTTTGACACCAGAAAATGATGAACTGATATTAATTTCAGACAACCATTATGAAAAGTAGTTTACTTGTATTATTTTTCCCAGTTTGTAATGACTCCGTATCAAGTAATGGATGACTGTCTCTTAGACTAATAGAAACTGACGTTTCTTCATTTAGAGGACTGTCAAAATGTCGTCTGTACTTGTTATGATAGAACGCCATTTTGGATGTTGACGGCAATGATAATTGAATGTATTTGTAGTGATTCATCTTTTCTTCAGGTGTATGTGTGAAATGCTCCGGGCACATATTTAAAAAAAAATCGGAATAAGGCGAATAGACGGATTAATCCCGCCCCAACTCCTAAAAAATAAGATATAAAAAATCCAACACAAAGTTAACCGCATCTAAAACAAGAGTTATACCCCCTTTACTGTCAGAACGCCGGAAAATTAATTAATAAACTCGTGTAATAATAGAAAGGAACTAAAAAATTAATTATCTTTAGTAGAATACAAAATTCGCCATTTTTATTTTCTTTCTATTGTTACATTTACTGCATTCGAGTTATCAATCCAATTATAGGGTCTATGTATATTCTAATGCTTAGGTTGGCAGAAATATCTCTAGTTCTAAAATGTAGTTGTCTCCCTCTACATGAATTATCATTTACACGTGTACATGTTCATAAACTAATTAGCTAACCCGCAATAAGGCCTATATTTTTCATTGCTAACCCGCTTGATACCTATATTGTTGGGTATATAATAAAAGTTTAATATAAGTAGGTAGGTTCGTATAATTTAGCGATAATTGAGAAGGAGATCTAACTTTACTTTTACACGTTTTAGTCTGTCATTTTTCAGATATATTATAAGGAACGGGATCTCTTTTAGGTCACAATATATTGTTACATTGGTTGATTAAAGAAATGGAGAGATCACGGAATGAAATCCCTACCGCATTGCACATTTAACGATATGAATAAATATAGAAATATATTTATACAGAGTCGGGCCCGCCACAGGTCCCTCCAGTCCTAGAGACAAGCAACTCGGCGGGGTACTGGGGATTTCTAGCGTCATTTTGTCGTATATCTGGGGTAACTGGAGGTCACTTTGTTAAAACACAGAAACTGAGATTTGACACAACATATCATGACATACCATATTATACATGTACTACGTTTTAATGATGTAATAATTGTCAGATGTACGCGATTTTGACAGGAAATTTTAAGCAAGCAAACAAATGGAAAAACAAAAACCCTGAAAATCAGACGTCAACATATCAAATATATATATTTTTTTCATCACATTAACTATTCATGTATATTTTTCAATACCCAAAATTATGCTTTACTTGATTCAAATGGAACTATTCGTGCACACATGGAAACGAACTCATCAATAGTCTCATCAGTATGTGCCAAGTTATTTTCGATGCTTAAAATTGTCAGACCTACAAGTCGCTCTTACCGCTTGCATGATCACTGACAGGCCTTGACGGTGACGATAGCCCAAACGGAACGAGGACGGGTCGGGCAGGCGGCTTATAGTTTTCAATTCACCATTTTTTCAAAAATAGTAGACTGACAAAATTCTACCCAAACCACTAGGTACCCACATTCAGAAAAGTAACCGATTTTCTTCTACTTTACGATCAAGTAAGAGTGAATTGTTTGGATTAATTTATACCAACAATGTTTATTTATTAATCTATACCAACAAATTTTGTCAAAAACATTGCCAGGCATATCTCCCCGGGCCCCTGGACAAGCGTCCGAGCTGCCCCCCACCCCCTGATACAGAGAATACAATGAGAAAAGCAAATCCACATTTAAGTAAATTAGTGCTATTGTATGCACTCTTATTACAATAATGAATTTAATAGTCAAGGTATTAATACTTCAATCATGTGTTTTGTGTTTCATAAATCTTAGTAACATAAGTATGTCCCCAGTGATAGCAATCCCCAGTTCCTAAATGTTTCGAGGCCTATACATTTGCTTTCTGTAACCAAGCTGACACGACAGTACGACGTCTGCTTTCTTGTGCACGCGTATTAGAATTCAATAAATATTCGATAACAATTATTTTTATACTTTTATGATTAATGTGCAACACGAGCTCGACAACGATAGCAATCTCTGGTATTAATTGCAGAACTAAATCTCATATATCTCTTATAAACTGTTATTTTATACACTATAGAATTTAATAAATATGGGGGAAGCATTTGGAAACTGCATGCGAGAAATATTTTGAAATCTAGTGTCCTAAATAAATAATCACATATGTATTCGACACCACATCAACCATATTCATACCAAAACAATAATATTTAATTTGGAAAAAATAACTAATTTTTGTAACCGCGATATTGATACATAGCTAACCTTTGAAGATGGTTAAGGTGTAACATGTACACTAATTTCTGGATTGTTTGAACAAGAGCGGTGCCAAGACATAGCCTTGTGACACACCGATACCAGTAATCCGTTATGCCATAGCTTCTCAGATGTATGAAACTACTCATTAAAAATTTGAAATGAAATTTATTTTTTCTCCACAACATTATTTTGTTGAGAATGGGAAACTTGTGCATTCTAGTCACCAAAGAATGACATCTTTGTTGGTTTGTTTTACGCGGTTGGTATGCTAATACAGTTATTTGTTAACGTATTATTCTTCTGAATGAAAACTTCACTATTTTCTCCTGAGCTCTGAAAGACAAATAAAACATACATAGGAAAATATATTTGATAAGGAAACCAAGACGGAAAGTATGTGATAATTGTCTTCGCAGACATGGATGTTTATTTTCCTATAGTATTTATTTTCGCATTTTGAGAACCCTCGTTTCTTTAAGTGTAACCAGAGAAGAGCATATATCAGACCGACACCGTGTATTGATATGTTCTTGGTGTTGATGTATTTCAAGCTTTCGCTTGTTTAACAAAGTACTGTGTATTTGACAGAAGAAAAAGTAATAGAATCACCTCGTTCCGTCAAAGAGTTGTCAAATCAACAAGCTATAAGTTATGGCCTTTGTTGCTAATCAGCTGTTTTCTCGTGTATATTTTGTCTATCCTATCTTTTTTTCTAAGTTGATTTTTCAGTTATGTGTCACTGAAAGATATACATATAATAAATGAGTTAAAGTTATAAAAAACATTTTATGCTTTCAGTTTTTTTTACTGATGTTTTCATGTATTTGGAAAAGTGAGTGGCGTTTGAGGATTATGTTAATTTACTTTACGATCTGATAATATTATTTTAAAGATAGGACTTATTCCAATTTACTGCATTTTTTAAATCTTCAAACCATCGAATTCACAGTGCCATAATGTTCTGAAGTAATTGGCAGTCAATGCCTTTTGGAGGTTTAACATCTAAACACAAAAACTGAATAACCGAATGGATTTTATAAACTTTATTGAATTTCACATAAAGCTAATATAATTCAGTATATAACGAAATAATTAGTTGAATATCATAAATGTAACTGATAAGAAAAATATTTTATAATAAGCCTAAGTTAGACATTTCTCTGGTTTATTCATTAGTTATTGGAAATGAGCGCCGATGTAAATATGCAAAGGGTTCTCTCTCTCTCGTCAGAATGCATTAAAGTGAAACTTTCTATCAAGCATGTAATGGTAAAATCATATTGAGACACACTGTGGTATGATTGCTACAACATAAGCAAGTTGGCCATACGTCATTAATTCAACATGAAATATGAATTTTTTTAGTGCTTCTAACAGAGAACAAAATAGTGGTTTTTGCATGATAAGAGTTTTAAAAATAGCCCAACAACATCATCAAATATTGATGCCAGAATTTCAATTAAATAGTAAATTTTCGTATTGACCTAATTAATTACTGTACATGACACAACAGAAAGTAGTCATTTTTTTTTTTGTATCGTTAATATTTTTTCAGTTACAACCCCCTGTTTATCTATATAGTATTATTTGTGCGTCACAGTTTAATAATGTGTGCAGCTCTATGCTGTAAAATTCGTAAATTTTAAAACCAGTTAATTGTATTAAAATAAAACCAATGGAAAAAATGATATGCTCTGGGGAATTACGGATTTTATTGAAGAATGTCTATCATTTACTGTTCCTCGGTTTTTATATTTCTTCACGCACAATTCCTGCTTTACGCTTCTGTTCTAGTTTACTTTTGTGGTATCCATTATGGAGCTTAAGGGATTGAAGGTTGCTTGAACTGCGAAACTAATATTGCGTGTAAGTTATTTTTCATGAAGGTGTAATTTAATAAACTTAACAGCTATTAAAAACTCATTATGTCTCACAGCAACCATTAGTGCATTCTGTCGTTATGTGCTGCATAAACATAAATCATAGAGAGTGTTAAATAAATAGTTGGAAATAATATCTACCGGTATTATTATGGCCAAACATAGTTTAGCTTTTACCGACGTTAAGTGGCACTAGAAAAGTTATTAAAACCAGGATGTAGACCACCAACGTTTGAGGATAGAAACTTTCTAATGAACTATTTTGATTTTAGCTTTTAAACTGCAGTTGTCCAAATCGTCAGATTGTGTTGGACGTAAGAGCAACATGTTCTTCGTACTTCTTCATGATCGGTAAAAATGTTTTCATTAAGAATTGTTCGACCATTTTATCTCCGAGAAAACTTCCATTTTATTATGGCATGCGTAGTTCAGATTACATTCTATTTAACGGAAGTGTCACTTTTTAGGCACGGAGAAACAAAAAACAGGGTATAATCGTGATTCTAGGTGTCCATTAAAACTTGTCTGGTATATCTCAACATCAGTCTGACCATCTCAACAGATCTACATCTTCTATCAACAATAAAAGCATCTCACATTCTATCACATATACTAAGTAAATACTAATAAAACACCTACGATTGACTTCTCACAAAGCTCAGTCTGAGTACGTTAAACCCCATTTCATTTCAGGGACAAAGACATTGAGTAGGTAGATCCCCCAGCAGTTAAAATTCGGGGAAGAGTGTGCAGAAATACCACTGCCTAGACATTTACCCACCCCCACCACACACACACCCACACACACACACTACACACGTCATCATAAAAATAAACAGTTATTTGATTTTTAAAAGTATGACCTATTGAGTAGTCAGATCTGAAAACTATTGAAACATATGGGACTGTGTGGTGGAAATCAGAAAGGCCAAGACTATTAATATGTTGATAGTGAATTTATCTATCTAATATTTGTTCGCGTTGTTCAGTTCAGTGTTTAGATTTCTATAGTCTCTGTTTCTAACTTGCTAAAAAGTTATTTTGAAGTTACATATTATTGACCCGGTGTAGATAATTATGGTGACATTATTTTGAGGACAATAGAATCCCCAAAAATATTGTATAGCAATTTGTGAACATCTATTAGTTGAAGATGTCTCTAAAACCTTTCCTAGAGATATCTGTTAATTTGTAATAAAGTTGCCGTCTAAGGACTTTAAGAAACAATGTCGTTGTCTGCGTATGGGAAAACATGGAAATAAGGTTGTCAACTCATGTCACGAAAATGCTTCATACGATATTTATTAGCTTTCAAAATTTTATTATTTAACTTGCAATAATGAATTTCTAAGACATCCATATTGTAAGGGTTTAATTGTCTAATTGTAAACCGGATACTTTTTCTGGCAGTCATGAAGCCATGTTGGTAATTTTCGTTTTGCCTCGAGTCTTCTTGACACTTCTGGGTCTTTTTCAGAGGAAAGGTCAACTGCCGAGAAAGCCTCATATGTGATATGGGTCAGACGTACCGAAACCTTGTAGTGCAGTCGAATCGGTAATAAGATTATTTCTGTTTAAGCTGTCAACGTAGTTTTAACATGGGAAAAAAGAGAAATGGGGTTTAACGTCCACTTGACACAAATTAGGTCATTTCGGGACTAACATACGGTTCAATTTTATTTCAATAACTCGCTTTTGCGTAGGGATCTGGCGAAAAAAACAAGAGGTTGGACAGACGATCCTACTCCTTGTCACGTACAAGCAGGGAATTGAAACCATGCCAATTGACTCAATAACAGAACTTATGATCCAAGGCGTAAACCAATCCGGCCACCAAACCTCCCTTTAACATGGATTGTCAAAGGGGAACATGCAGCTGGAAAAGTTTGTAACAATGGGTGTTGGGTTCGAAACGCGGTATAAAAGATAGCGTCCCAAATTATTCAGGTAGCCTATTTTATAAATGACAAGCATTCCCCGTTACGTGCACGTCACTATTTATACTACATAAGTAAAGCAATTGTTTAGACTTCGTTTTCTGGGGGGTTGGGTGGCTGAATGGTTAGCGTGTGCGCGCTGTATCATGAAGTCTGTCATTGAGTCAACTGGCGTGGTTTCGAATCCCCGGTTGTACGTGACAAGGAGTAGGGTTGCCTGTCCAACTTCGTGGGTTTTCTCCGGGTCCTCCGGTTTCCTCCCACTGCTAAAGACCCCTACGCGCAAGCGAATTATTGAAATAAAATTAAACCATGTGTTAGTCCCGAAATGACCTAGTTTGTGTCGAATGGACATTTAACCCCATTTCTCTCTCTCTCTCTCTCTCTCTCTCTCTCTCTCTCTCTCTCTCTTTAGACTTCGATTTCTGATGCCTTTGCTGCGAAATTTTGAACTTTCCTGTAGTGGTATCTGGATGAAGGTAGTTGGTTAAATAGAAATAGAACTCGTTTCTGCTTATACAGCGTAGTATGGAATTAAATTAAATCGATAGTCGTTATACCGGTGGTCGAATTTCGGCCAGGACTTTCTTCATCAGCGGGTGTTTTGTTTACAAACGGACGCCCACAAACGGAGCCTACATATTAGACTAAAGTTTCTTTATGAGTGAGGGTTACATATTTAACTTTTTGTTTAGTTCCCAAACTTTTTGAGAAAAATTTAAGGGGGCGATGATGACGTCTGAAAATGCTAACGCTGACTTTTGGAATACGGTAAGGTTTCAAGGCTACAATACATGCTGATATAGACAGGGCTATTTTTTCACGGCGCCTGCTCTTTGTGTGGCAGGAAGTGGTATAATTTTCAGTCACGTGACTGTTATCACGTGTTCTGTCAATCATAATGATAGCAACGTTACCACCGGTGTGATTATCCAGTTGTTTCCCTTTGATCTGACGATAACCGACAATATTTTACAGATATCCCTTGTTGTATTTCAAGTGTGGTAAAGACAAGAGTTCTTTTAAGTTATATCACGTTGTTTCTATTCTCCGTTATTCATGTCTTCTTTTATTTTAGGTAAATCTCTTCAAGTCAATAATACGTTAACGTAAAGATACAGATATAATGGTTCAGACAACGTCAAGATCTGCTTTCTAATTGTACTTTCGAGCCCTACTCGAAGCGGAATTATCTCTCCCATCAAGAAAATAAAATTTTGAACAATATAAGATTCTTCTTTTTATCAAAAATATAAGCACCGCCTAATACTGGGAGTAAAATATTTTTCATGGGCGTTCATTAACCTCTTATTATTGCTGGGCTCCCATTGTCATTACGATAGGATTGTCCATACTGAGTCCACGATCTGGTACGTGCAGAAACGTTCGGATACGTTTCGATCCAACCAACGCGATTGCTAAGACTGACCTTAATATATTATAAGATCTGGTAGGATCACCACGACTACTCCAGGATTAAAACCACGATTTTAATCATAAACAACTAGCATAAACCACTAACACGTTTGTACGATTTATAAATTCTAAGATAAACCGTGTATATCTGACATAGATTTAAACACGTCTGGCTTAACTATTTAGTTGAATCGCAACTAATCCAAAAGTACCCTTTTTTTTATCAACCAGCGAAGACCAAAGGCAACAATCTCCATGCCTATACTATATATTATGTCAAATAAGAAATATTAAATTTACATTTTTTTTTAGCTATTTCATTAAATTGTAATAGCATATCACGTTAATTTATTGAAAATGTTTAACGTTTTGATGTGTAATCTAAATCTTTAATTACATTACGTTCTATTGTATAGCTATGTAAGAAACGAAAGTAGAGAACTATATATAAATAGAAATATACCAATATTACATACGAATGCTAGGTACAATGTGAGAGCCAATAAAACACAACGGAAAATTCAGATATTATTCTAGAAAAACCAAAAGTCGTTATAAATTAAAGTATCATTGTTATTTTAGTTTAATTACTTTTGTAATACCTACATTATAATTCCTAAAGAAAGGTCATTGAGTTATAATCGATGGCTCGAATGGCCAGCTGCAAATTTTATTTCAATTATTGTATTTTGATTGTCTTGTAATTCACGTGGCGCATGCAAACCGTCAAAGAGATCTGTACTGTAGGAAATGAAATCTATACGATATGAAATATTTAAGAAGGGTAATTATCTCCCCTTGAATTTCCCTCTCGTCAATTAGCTTAATTGAAAGAACTCTCGGGGTACTTGAAGCTAGTGTGGATTTATCTTAAGCTGTTTTAGAAGCCTATTTAAGATTGATGAAACGTACAATCATTTTGCCGCTAATCGAAGGCACGTGCGAAAGAGCAGCTTGTTAGAGAATAACTCTTGAAAGTTGTTAATGATTACTGGAAATTGTATGTCATATTACATCAAGGTATTTCCATTCTTTTAGTGCAACTACTCATATTTTATAGCTTATAATTTTGGTCCATTTTTGAAACCCACTATACACGTATGTCGGTACATCTAATTTGATAAGAATATATTTCTTGGTACCGGTTATGTAAGAATTACATAAATCAAATATCCATTTAGTCATTCAAGTGTAACTCAAGCCTTGCCATGAAAAAAATGTAATGAAATGGGGTTTAACGTCCCACTGTTCTGCTCCGACTGGGCTAATAAAGACGGACATACGCCACACAGTATGCTATGAGGGAAATTTTGCCGGGGCAGCGGCACTATGGCCTACTCTTATATCGAATTCCAACTGTCAGGGGATCTTTTACGTGCACGCCAATGTATACACGGGACCTTGGTTTTTCGTCCCATCCTTCCCAACTGCTACGTACATGAACAATTTTAAAGAGGAAATCAGCAAGAATACGAGTCACGGGGGTTTAGACCAGACACAATCAAAACGCTCTAACGAAACATATTGGTACAAAAAGTATACAAACTGGGTTCAATTCCAAGTTAGGTCATACATAATTCTTATCAGTTTCTATCAATTTACGCCGAGTAATAACATTCTGTTATCCTTACGCCCACATTGAAACATGGTCGTATATTGTCATCACTTTTGTCCATCGGCCGCTGTGGATACTAAAGCTGATAAAGATAATATGGATTCTTTTTTTTAAACAAATGTATATACATAAATTACTTTTAAAAAAAAAACAAAAAAAAATATACGCGCCTTACAGACTAAAGGCATTTTAATTTTCGATGCTAGCCTAACAGCGTTATAATTTTATCGTAAGAACTTCAAGACATTTTTTATTGGTTGCAAACATGAAATATTCAATCCAATCTAGACTTCTAAGCTTCGCTTCTAACATCACTGGGTTATAAAATATATATCAATCTTTCATTCATCTATCACCATTACGATATTAAACTTGATAGTTATCTTTGACCACTGATCAACTTATCATTCTTGTTGAAAGATAGGTATCCCAAGTCAGCAACTGTAATTAACCCCACCGACACATGGATGGCATGGAAGGTAGACTAGGTATAATAAAAATGCCCCCCCCCCCCATTTTAAAATATTAATTTTATATAGAAACTCTTGGGTGGAATATTTTGTTCCTTCTGTCAATTTCTGAATTAAAGAATAAAAGTCAATTTCTTGAATCGAAGAATAAAGCTCATACTTTCTACAAAATAGTTTCGTGTGAGTTTTAACACTTTTAAAAAAGTGTTTCATCCAAACCCTCAAATGTTTGTCTACTTGGAATTACTATTAGATTTTGCTCCATATTCACATATTGGTTTAATATTAAGAGAGTGGTGAAGAGAATATTTATGTTCACTACATTCTTTATAAAAAAAATAATTTCAGATTTAATTTGAAGGTTGAAAAAACAAAATTGAATATAATGAAAAAGTTTTTCTTTGAGTTGCCCCTTAAGCAAAACGAAACAGGAAAAATAGCTTTTTTATTCCCATACCGATAAACTTACAAAATAATATCCCAGCAGTGGCGTATGCAGAATTTCCGAAAATTTGTTGATGTGGGAAAAACCCAGAATAATTTTTACCCCCACACCTCTTCCCTGACAAGCCACTGTTTCCTATAAAGATTAAACCATGGTTTAATTCAATTGCCGTAAAATGAAAATAGATTGTTCCTTGTCAATGCATTGTTGCTTGTCATTGATTTGGCTAAATAAGAAACCATCTTTGTTAATGTTGTAGACATCTGTAGTTCATTATCAACAATTAGTTTCATATTTCAATTCTATTATCCGATACGCTTGTCGGATTGTCGGACTTTGTTTACATAGAAATGATTCTTATACATAGGGATATCATTTGGCCTGAATAAATGTAGATGCTTATGTAAATAATTATCGTTCGAATGTCTTATTTCAATGTTCCATACGCGTCCACGGTAGAGAACTGGACATCCTCACAGATGGATAAACGAAAGGATAATTTTATTATACCTAATAAATCGAATGAGATAACCAAAGAATAGTGAAAGGCAACTTGGGTAAACAGTAAGTGGACAAGGGAAACGGTTCCTGCTAATCACCGAAAAGAACAGTCGCATAAAGTATATTGAAAAGAAAGGATATGTTACACAAACATATTCTATACAGTATACAGTGTATACACCATAACCAAAATTTAAATGCTTTCATAAAACATGGCAAAAATTGACAACATTTTCAAATGTCTTGAAACGAACACAGCAAGATGTTTGTAAAATGTTCATATAAATATCTTCTGAGATCATCCAGTTTTCTCGGAAACTTATCCAGGTGGAGTGATAATATCGTTAGCGTTACAACAAGTGAACAGACGGCACTAAGCTTCCAACAGTAAGAACATACCAAATTTAGTTCTGTTTTCATTAGTGGGACGTAAAATCTCGCCGAGAATAAAATTTATCGATTCACTCTTCTTGAACTTCTCGTGTGTTTCAGAGGGAGTAATCATACGTTGCCTAGTACACGACCTCTGTCACTAAAGAATGCAATAGTTTTTACTTGGGTTGCACGGTAGAGTCCAGCTTTAGAGATTTTAATATAGTATGATTTCATCGTGGGAGTACATGTCCTTTTCTTACTTGAAAAGGAAATTTTTTTGGAAAAAATTCTGAGATCGGCTTATTAAGATAAACACCCTTGTCATAAAAAGATACATGCCTTAATTTAAGCAATGTCTGTCTTCTTTGATGTGGATGATTTAATATGCCTTTCTGTGTCATTCTCATATTGGTAATATTAGGGCATAAACAAATATTGACGAAAATGACGTATTGAACTGGCTAACTTCCATCGTATATTGGTTTTACTTGGCTGACTTTAATAATATTATGATACCCTGATAGGGTTATTAAAGGATCCAAACAATAGAAGGACTGTGTACATCTTAAACAATATTGTTGTAAAATATTCCTTTTATCTTTGCTATATCTATTGCTTATAGTTCATATTGTCATAAAGACTATACAAGGAACGTGGCGGTTTATTAAATCAGGTGCACTGCCCACACTAACGTTTTCTTCTACAAAATAACAATTATCTTAATTCGGTCCAAGATAAAATATGCTTAATTACTTCATGAAAATATTTATAAAGCACTTGACAAAAAACGTCAGAACGGGTTGTTTGACTCTTTGCAAGCTAATAAAGGCAGTGCAAAACTGAAATCAGGCTTTAAGTTGTGTCCCGTTGAAGATGTTTGACAATTCTGTTCAGAATATATCTCTACAAAGAATAACGTCGTCCTTATACGTCCATATTCTCTATTTATGATTTATTCCAAACCTGCCTTGATTATTAGTCATAAGATTAAATCTTTTCTAAATTCAGATTTGTGCCTCAATTTTATTGTCCCTGTAACAGATACTTTTAAACCACTTTTCTAGAATATTGTTCATCTAGTTGTTAAGAGGAACCCTTTCGAAATTCAGAATCGCCAATTAAATTTTAAGCGTAGTTATTGCCCCTGACCATGAAAACTCGAGAGCCGCCCTTCAAAATGCTGGTGGGTGTATATGTATTGACTGGCAACATCATGTTTAATATGAATTTGACAATTAGGAAGATGTGACCCAGAACAATAAAACATGGCCAAATAATTTAATGCCGACTGTGGATATTATTTCTACCACACGGTCAA